TTGATTGGCCAGCAAACTAGCCTACCCTAAACTCCATAGAGAATCTGTGGGGTATTGTCAAGAGGAAGATGAGAGACACCAGACCCAACAATGCAGACGACCTGAAGGCCGCTACCAAAGCAACATGGGCTTCCAAAACGCCTTAGCATGACACAGGCTGATCACCTCCATGCAACACCACATTGATGCAGTAGTTCATGCAAAAGGAGCCCCGACCAAGTATTGAGTGCATACTATACTGTACATGGACATACTTTTCAATAAGCCAACATTTCTGTATTAAAAATCCTTTTTTTTTTTTTTTTAATTGGTCTTATGTAATATTCTAATTTTCTGAGTTACAGAATTTGGAATTTTCACTAGCTGTAAGCCATAATCATCAAAATTAAAAGAAAAATGCTTGAAATATATCATCACTTTGTGTGTAATGAATCTAAATATGTGTTTCAGTTTTTGAATTGAATTACTGAAATAAATTTACTTTTTGATGATATTCTAATTTACTGAGATGCACCTGTATATACCAGCTGTGAAGTTTGTGGATTGTATGCAAAGGGTAGATGTTGAGATTCAGAGATGACAGAATACACTCCATTTCCTGTTCTGGTGGTATAGAAAGTCAGTAGGGGTTTCATTTATCAGTTTAACATTATGATAAACAATCTTGCTATGGCCAAGTTTCAACAAAGATTGTATACAGAATAATACAAAAGCACCAAATCCTGAAGATGCGAACATTATATAATATTACAATGTGTTTTACTCCATCGCTCGAGCATCCATGCTACTGAATGTTCCTAAGAAAAGATGAGGGAGCGGGAAAACTGCGACTTACATGACACTAATAAACACTTGCAAAAATTAAGGTATAAAATGTTCTGTTTTTTTTTTAAAAATAACAAAACATGTCATACTTGCTTGCTCTGTGCAATGGTTTTACACAGAGCAGCCTCGATCCTCCTCTTCTCGTGTCCCTGCAGGTGCTCCTGGCCCCTCCCTCCTGCGGAGTGCTCTGGGGGTACTCGTGCATGCTTGCTCCTGAGCCCCGCTCTGTGCCAATGGCTCCCGCTGCTGTCTCTCAGCCAATGAGGAGACAGAGACCCGGGATTTATGCTGCTCTCATGCACAGCACTGGATCGAGATGGGGCGCCGGTAAGTATTAGTGGGAGCAGCATACAGGTTTTTTTACCTTCATGCATAAAGGTAAAAAAACTTCAGCCTTTACAACTACTTTAAAGTGTACCTATAGCAAAGTTTGGATGGAGTGAGAAAAGCTAGAATGGCTGTCAGGTTTTACTGCTAATTGGGGCATTTACCACCAAAACAGGAAGTGAGGGTAAATACAGTCCTTTGAATGGCTGGCGAGGGGACAGGCTGGCCATTCCGGCACTAAGTGCATGAAACTTTGAACACGGCACTTTAACTAAGGTTAACAAGTAGTCTGCGCATGCTCATTCCTCTATCATCTCTTTCCCTCAGCCTTCCTTTATTATTTCTCCACACTCTCCAACATGCTCTTACTAACTTTCTTTTTTGCTATAATGCCCTCTCTCCTCAGACTCTCTCTTCTTTACTCCTCCTCCCCACCCCACAACCTGTAAATATCACCCGCACGTCTGCCCTCTCAATATCATTGCACTTACCATCTCCTGCTCTCTCTTAGCCCACATAATGTCACCGCTCCAAAATCACTGAGGCATTTGCCCTCATATAAAATCCCACCTCACCTCCCTCACCTTCCTATTACTGTAAAACTTCTGGAGACATTGCCCCAAACCCTGGCCCTTTACTATCAATGACCTCTTCCTCTCCCACAACCCACTTGCTATTACCGAAACCTGGCTCCAGGAATCCGACTGTCTCCTCAGCTGCACTCTCCCCATGGTGGCCTCCCCTGGACTCACTCACCCAGACCCAGTGGACGAAAAAGGGGGCAGAGTTGGACTTTTTCTTTCTCCACAAAGCACGATCCAGGTTCTTCCTACACCTTCCTCCCTGTCCCTCTGCTCTTTTGAAGTGCACTGTATTTGACTCTTTTCTCCTGTTTGTCTGAGGACCACAGTCATCTACTGGCCTGGCTCAGTTTCACGCTTTCTTGATGACTTCTTGGCATGGCTACTGTACTTTCTCTCCTCTGGAGGTGCCTGCCATCATCCTCAGTGACTAACATCCCAGTCAATGTTAGCACCTAAGCTGCTTCTCAACTACTCAACCCAACCTCCTCTTTTAACCTAACACAATGGACACAAACCATCACCCACTCTAACGGCAACACCCTCTACCTTGCGTTCTCCCACCTATGGACTCCTTGTAACCTCTCAAACACCCCTTTTCCTCCCTCTAATCACAACTTTATCAGCTTCACACACTCCCTGTCTCCTACCTCTCATGCCTCCAACCAGCAAACAGTTCCCCGTAGAAAACTCCACCACTTCAGCACTGATCTTCTTCACTCTGCTACAGAGTGCCTTTATGATAAAATTGCGCCCCTGTCCTGCCCAAACCTGGCCACAGCTGCCTACAACAACTTACTATCATCCTCCCTGGACGCACTTGCTCCTCTACATGCAGAGCCAGGCCTCGCCTGTCACAACCCTGGAAAACAGATGACACCAGAAGTCTCAAGAGATGCAGCCATGCTCATGAGCGAGCATGGCTTGAAACTAAATCCCTGCAAGACTTTACCCTATACAAATCCGCCCTTCTCAAATACAACTCCGGCCTCCATGCTGCTAAACAAACCTACTACAAGACATTCATCAAAACCCTCTAATCCAATCCTCATCAACTCTTTTCTACCCTTAATTCCTTACTACACCCCCCCCCCCCCACCAACTTACTTACTACACAGGAGATTGCCAGTCATTTCAAGAACAAGATCAAAACAATTTGTGATGAAATCTCCAGTGTCAAGCTTCCTCCTCCAACCAACATACCAGGCCCAACACCACGCTTAATACTCTCCTCCATTGATCCTGTTACCACCTAGGAAGTTACCAAACTCCTTTCCAAGGCTCACCTCACCACCTGTCCCCTGGGCAATGTCCCCTCACGATTATTGCAGCCTCCTTCCTGCTCTATCCTAAACACTCTAACCCACATCTTCAATCTCTCATTCTCCACAGGCACCTTTCCCTTCATGCTCAAACATGCACTAGTTATCCCCATACTTAAAAATCTCTCGCTGGACCCCATCTGTTTTGAATAACTTAAGACCCATCTCCCTGCTCCCGTTTGCCTCCAAGCTTCTCAAGCGCCTTGTTCACAACCGTGTGAATTGCTATCTCACCGACAACAACCTTCTCGATCCTCTACAGTCTGACTTCCACCCACAACATTCCACTGAAACTGCCCTACTAAAACTCACTAACGACCTACTAACTTCTAAAACCAATGGCCATTACTCCATACTCATACTCCTAGACCTTTCTGCTGCCTTTGACACGGTCGAGCACTCGCTCCTCCTTAGTAAACTCCACTCCACTGGCCTCCTTGACTCTGCTCCCTCCTGGTTCTCCTCTTACCTTTCTCAGCGCACTTTCAGCGTCACATACAACAACTCCTTCGCTCCTCTTCCTGTTGGGGTACCCCAAGGTTCTATGCTTAGGCCCCTCCTTTTCTCTCTCTGCACCTCCTCCCTGGGCCAGCTGATAATCTCCCATGGCTTACAATACTACCTCTATGCTGATGACACCCAGATCTATTTCTCCACTCCCCAGCCCACACCCTCAATCTCCTCACATATCACAAATCTAATAAGCGACATATCAGTATAGATGTCATACCACTCCCTCAAACTCAATCATTGCTCCTCTCGGTCCCCCAAACTCATTCCTCCTCCCCGATCCCCCACTCATGACTTTACCATTAAGATCAACAGCACAACCATTGGTCCTTCCCCTCATGCCAGGGTGCTCAGCGTAACCCTAGACTCTGACCTTTGGGCCCCACATCCAATCACTGACTAAATCCTGCCTCCTCAGCCTCCACAACATTTCCAAAATCCCCCCTTTCTGACCTATGACACCACAAAACAATTAATCCGCTCCTTGGTTATATCCCACATTGATTACTGCAACTCCCTCCTCACTGGTCTACCGTTACACAGGTCATCCCCCCTTCAGTCTATTATGAATGCTGTTGCTAGACTCATACACCTTACCAACCGATCAATGACTTCTGCCCCTCTCTGCCAATCCCTTCATTGGCTTCCACTAACCCAACGTATAAAATTCAAAATACTAACCACAACATACAAAACCATCCACAGCACTGCCTCTAGCTACATCACCAACCTCATCCGCAAATAACGCCCAAATTGCCCGCTCCGCTCCTCCCAAGACATCTTGCTCTCTAGCTCCTTTGTCACCTCCTCCCATGCTCACCTCCAGGACTTCTCCAGAGCCTCTCCCATCCCCTGGAACTCCCTACCGCAGTATGTCCGATCAGCCCCCACCCTGTCTACCTTTAGGCGATCTTTGAAAAGGGAAGCCTATCCCACCTCCACCTAAGAACTGTACTTAAGCCACCTCCATCAGATTATCCCCTGCAGCTATCACCTTTTGTACCACCTCCCCCTTCCTTTAGATTGTAAGCTCCACGAGCAGGCCCTCCTATTCCTTCTGTACTGAAATGTATTGTAATTGTACGGTCTCCCTTTATATTGTAAAGTGCTGCACAAACTGTCGGCGCTATATAAATCCTGTATTATAATAATCTCTTTGAAGGAACTCTGTACAGTAGTAAGACCTGACAGGAGGTCTAATCCTTACCCACACCATTCAAAACTAAAATGTTACACTATAGATACACTTAGGTTGCTTCAAGCATAACCACTCGGTCAGGGTATCATGAATGTATCACCAAATAATATAAACACAATAGCAGTGAGCACTATATTTTACCACAATAGCAGTGAGCACTATATTTTACCATTTTTATCAAACAAGCTTTTTACCTTTTGTTAAAGAAAACAGCTGATGTTGGATGTAGAGCACCTTTCACACTAGTCCTCCTAGCTTGGTCTGGAGGAAAAACTGTCCTTTTGCCAACTGCTTCTCTCTGTCCTCCAGATTTGAGAGACACTGATTTTTCCGAAATTCTCGACGTATATAAGATGAATAGTAGTCGCGGTCAGTAAACTGGAGTTTGCGTCCCTCTCGCAAAAGGGCACGGTACAGCTTTAGGACTGCCTCCCGGGACCAGCCTGCCATGGCAGGTGTGAAGAGAAAAGAGCTGGTCCTGCCAGTCTGCAGACAAAGACAGAAGTGTTAGAAGTATTGCATAAGTGAAATATTGGAGATTATAATGCAGATCTCCTTCTGCAAACACTAGCAGCCTCGCTGTCATGATGACTCACTAGCTTTAGCACTTTCTGAGCTACTAAAGCTACTAACCCAGAATAACTATTTAGATCAGAATATCAGGAATTTTGACTTCAACTACAACATGCATGATCCAGATCAGACGCTCACAAAATATTGTTCCCTGAGCATCAACTTGGATCAGCTTGATGGGTAATTGGTACTACAGGTAACAGGTATTTTGAGGAGAACAGAAATGGCAGCCCATGTATTAATGCCATAATATTTGTACTTTAACTCAAGCAGAAATATTCACCATGTTTACAAACTTTTCCTGAATCACAACATGAACTGGAATAAGAATTTTAAAGTGATATTAAAAGTTGTTTTTTTTTTTATAATTAACATGTTATACTTACCTGCACTGTGCAATGGTTTTGCACAGAGCATCCCTGATCCTCCTCTTCTCAGGTCCCCCGCGAGTGTTTTAGGCCTCTCCCTCCTGCCACTTCCTGTGGGGGCTCCCGAGCCACTGCGCTGTGTGTCCATTCACATACAGAGTGCAACTCGTCCCCGCTCTCTCCTCATTGGCTGTGACTGAAAGTAGTGGGAGAACAATGGCTACCGACTGACTGCTGCTGTCTCAGCCAATGAGGAGGGAGAGACCCGGGGGAGCTGAGGACATTGTCCACATTGCTGGATCGAGATGAGGCTCAGGTAAGTATGGGGGGGGGGGGGGGGGGGGGGGGAGATGCTGCACACAGGTTTTTTACCTTCATGCACAGAATTCACTTCAAACCCCCATTTACACTTCAGTGCATAATCCCATTCTTTCTAATTTTTCCTGATCACACTTGTACATTCAGTCACTCTACACCCAAAAAGTACACATTTTATTTTTTTAGCAGATTTAGGTGTTTTTGGCCACATAGACTCCTCTCCTCCTCTAGAATTGCTCCCAGCCCAGGTAGAAATGCCCAAAGATTATTTCATATGCAAAAATACCTGAAGGAAAAAAAAAAAACACTTCAAAATCAACAGGAATATGCTCTTCCCAGATGTAAAAGCAGGCTACAACAAAATAGCATGTTTTATACTGTATAGTAGAAGGGTGTTGTCCTAACTATTTTAGCCACCATTAAAAAAAAAAAAATGATGGCTGAAGTTAAAATGGTTTTAATGATAGTGAAAACATATACGAGATATCTCATTTCAAAAGAAAATTTGAATACTGAACAATTAAGAATAAAGCTAAATGTGACTCAGCATAATTCATAAATATAAAAACAAGGAGACTTCTATTAGTGAATTGGTTTTCAAAGATTCAGACTCTGGGACCGTCATCCTGAACCTGGTATCACGATCTGTTGCTCTGGTGACCAACGTGTGGTCCTTTAACCACTTGCCTATCAGGCACTTTTACCCCCTTCCTGCCCAGGCCAATTTTCAGCTTTCAGCGCTGTTGCACTTTGAATGACAGCTGTGCGGTCATGCAACATTGTACCCATATGAAATTTTTATCATTTTTTTTCTCACAAATAGAGTTTTCTTTTGGTGGTATTTAATTGCCACTGGGGTTTTTATTTTTTGCACTGTGATTGAAAAAAAAAGATAAAAAAAAATAAAATGTGTTCTTTGTTTCTGTTATAAAATAAATATTATATAGCAGGTCATTTTTCTCCTTCACCGATATGCAGCAGTGATAGAAACGGATAGGCAGCACTGACTGATAGCACCAACTGGAGGCACTGACGGGCGGCACTGATTATTAGTGCAGATATCCCGTCACATTTGCTGGTTATCACCAGTAATTTCCTCACGTTGTGACAGCAGTACGTTGTGACATTATGCAGTCTCATAGGGCAGTAAGAGGAGAATGAAAAGTCCTCCTACAAGCTTTATCCTGTGCTCAGCTGGACACTGATAGAAGTTACAAGACTGCTTTAACTGCTGATGAAAAAAAAAGGTATTTAGCAATATATTTACTAAAATAATTGCATTTCCATGTACTTTGTACTGTGGAAGACCAGATATAGTGAATGCAGGGTCCTGGATTTAGTAACACTAACACTTCCTGCACGGTCCTCAGGGGTTTTGATGCTTACTCAATCCAGTGAAAGAACAGTGGGGGGAATTGACAAAAGGGGGAGCAGAATCTGGTGCAGCTGTGCATAGCAATTAATCAGCTTCAATCTTTAATTTTCAAAGCTTAACTGAACAAGCTAATGTGGAAGCAGATTGGTCATCATGCAGAGCTGCTCCAGATTCTGTCTGTTCCAGTTTTGAAAAATTCCGCTCAATATTCTTCAGTCTGACTTCTAGTCATTAAATGGTTGGGTTTTTTAGAATGTATTCTGCTTAGAGAAATGTCAGTAGTGGCACAAGTAATTTTTAAGGAGGCTGTTGGAAATACAAATATAGAAGAACGGAGTTGTAATGGGGCTGTAATGGTAGTGATATCTAGCTGTTTCCTGGATGTGTCTGCAGCCTATGATGGTCTCATGAAGCTTATTCCCTGTCTACAATATCTTCTGTAGCATGTCTGCAGTGTGTGGCTATTTTCTGTAGCATTACATTTACTGAATATTATGTGTGGCCTCTGGTGATGTTACTAATCTAGTGACTCATTCACCTAGAACAAACATGCAGCTATCCATGTCTGGATTTCCACCCTGCACACTTGCCTTTAGTTTGCTGACTCACAAGAAAAATACTGCCAGTTAATAACACCATAGGCTCTGTATGGACAAGAAGCTAGAGAAAGAGTCTGCAAGAGCCTAGCATTGCACCCACAATCCAATGCAAAACAAACAGTAAATGCACATTTTTTTTTCTGCAAATATGGGTACATTTACATATATAATTTTTTTTTTGCAAAAGGTTGACTTAACCTTTAAAGTGATCAGTTTGGTGATGGGAAGGGCCTGCTGCCTCCGAGGAGCCCAGAATCATGGATGGTAACTCACTTTAGGATGACAAACGGGAGGAGATCAAGGATTACCCATTCCCTGATCTAGTCTGTGATCCCTGATCTAGTCTGTGATGAACACAAAAGCGACAAGGATTTCTATACTTCTGGTTCCAGTTTATTCATTCTCCAGCTACTGTGGAAGCAGCTAATCAAGTGCAGAAAAGCAAAAATGCCTCCATTCCAAAATGCATTGCAACATGTAAATGTGAACTCTTTGGATAAGGGTGTAGTTTTTTTACCGTCATCTATTCTATGCATGAAGGTAAAAAAAGCCTTCTGTGTGCAGCAGTGCCCCCAGCCCCCTTAATACTTACTTGAGCCTCATCGCGATCCAGCGATGTGAATGACAGCCTCGGCTGCCCCGGGTCTCTGCCTCCTCATTAGCTGAGACAGCAAACGAGAGCCCTTGGCTCCCACTGCTGTCAATCACAGCCAGTCAGCCAACGAGGAGGGGGGCAAGCCATGGCTCCACGTGTGAATGAACACATGGAACAGTGGGTGCCCCCATAGCAAGCTGCTTGCTGTGGGGGCACCCAACAGACAGGAGGAGCCAGGAGAGCCTGTGGGGGACCCGAGAAGAGGAGGATCCAGGCTGCTCTGTGCAAAACCACTGCACACAGTAGGTAAGTATAGACATGTTTGTTATTTTCCAAAAAAAAAAAAATATTAACCTTTAGAATTGCTTTAAGTTCCAACACATGCATTAAAACATGGGAGGTGTGAACAAGGCTTTTATACCCACAGAAGACATCTCCCAACTGTTATCAAACAGTAACATTTACTAAACACCCACATGGATGTCAGGAAGAGGCTGTATATCTAATACAGAACTACCTATCTCACCGAACAGTGAAGTCTATGAATCCATGTTGAGACTTGTAACTCCAATACAAAGAGTAGCAGATTGCCTCTAGGCCATTCATACAGAAGTTAAATGCATCAACACACATTTCAGTGTGACAGCACTATGACAAGTGATGACGTGTTCAGGCCAACTAATGGAAGCCTGGTTAAAACCACCTGAAACCAATTCCGCAGTACCTCCAGTGTTCCCAATGACGTCTAGTATACTAATCAACATAAATACATGTACTAATCAGGTAACATAGGTGTTTATGTAGAGGAATACTACAAATGTACCTTAGGAATAATAACATTGCTTATTTCCATATGCTAGTAAGCACTGAAGAAAACAAGGCACAGATGTGTCTAATATGCTTTCTATAATCCCATTCTCATTGGTATCAGCTGATCATTGCAAAGAGAAGGAACACAGGACGCACCAACCTAGCGCATTACCTTTGTGAAAGCTTTGTTTTAACAGAACAGATGTATACTCAGAAACAATATCAGCAAAAAGGCACATCAAAGTACATAATGTACTTGAAGCGGCCTGGTGACCTAGACATGTCCCAGGCACGAGAAGACCTTCCAAAAGGCCAAAAGTATGGACTGGTTATTACTCATAACATCTATGAAAACTTTAAACAATTGCATGATTCTAAACTGTCCCTAATTTGAAAACAATTCCATCTGTCCCTCTTTCTTCTTACGTTGTTCCTTTTCTTTTGGTCTGGTGTTCAGGTTCCTATGAAAATCTGCTACTTAAAGGGTTACTTGCCTTTACCAAAAAACTGCCTATGCAGATAAGGGGTGTCTGTAGATAAAAACAAACTGGGCAGCTCTGATAAAGTTGAATAATGTCCTTGCTATAGGTGTAGGCCATTTACATACCTCATGAAGCTGGACTGGAATACTCCTAGGACATTGCTAGGTGAGGCCTAGTCATTACCATTCACCTCCACCATCACAGGAATGAGTTCCCAAACACTGAACTCAGAGCTACTGCTTCAGGGGAATGAAAGAGCATGTAAGGGGTTTGAATGAAAGAAAAAAAAAAAACTCGCTCCTGTGATGGTGAAGATGAGACTAGGCTTCA